CAAGAATTACCCTCAGGTAGCCTCCCTGTGTATTCATCCTTATTTGGCATTGTAGAGACCTGACACGATGCTAAATGGATGTGTAAAATTACACAGCTCATTATCATCCACACTGTTGGTAAAGTTAGATGTGCTGAAGCTTCGTGCTTCAGCACTGTGGAAATGTTAGCAGAATTAACTTGATAAGTGATAAACACGTGTTTTAAATAAGGACAGTCATGGGATGAGGTCGTGTAGCGACCCCTTGGCCTTTCCACATCTGCGGTGTCTGTTTTCACCACTCACCTGAAACTTGCAGTCAAAGGCACTTTTCATCTTCTGCTTCCAGAGTCATACTTGTGCAGTGAACATTTTGTCTGTGAAAATCAGGCAGTGGCTTACTTTAACGTAAATAGGATCTGGTTTTAGTTGTCTTTGTTGACCTTAAATGGCAACTAAATTAAAGCCATCAATACAAACAACACTGACAAATTTAGTCAGTGTTGTTTGTATTGATTGATTCCAGGCATCTTGCTTTCATTGCAGTTGGTGATTATTACCTGGTTCGGTTAATCAGCTGACTCAAAACCTCTAGTTTGTGATTGTCATCCTCTCACATTTGACAATTGTCCAAATGTAAAATAATTTCATTGAGCAAATTTATTACAATCATAAAAATATGATAAAATGATATAATTCATATTAAAAACAGATATGCAATTTCTTTACTGCAACTGCTTCTGAAATATTGAGCGGAATATGTTGACTATTGCTGTAGCTGTAACATTTTGCATGATATTATTATTAATGTAGTTTCAGTCCTACAGTAGTTTGCTGAATGGCAGTTCCCAGGTGTCTGAAAATTAGGGTCAACAGATACTTTAATGCCTGGAGGTGATGGTACTCTTCCTTCGCTTCCTGATCTTCTTCATCTTTTTGATTTCTGTCATTAGCTGGTGACGAGGGAGGGACATCATCTAGACCAGGGGTGCTCGACACGTCGATCGCGATCGACCGGTCGATCGCGTCGATCGCGATCGACCGGTCGATCGCGGGGAGGTTTTGAGTCAATCTCAGCAGCAGGTGACAAACTGAAGGCCGTCAGGACGCTGAGACCAGCGCTTCCTCTTCTGACAGGCTTATCAATATATTCACCAAGATCCAAAACATTTGTAGCTTCATTAAAGAATAATAAAGCCTGGAAACCTGATATCGTAACGGACTGAGCGTTTTTAACGTAATCTTTGCTCGGCTTGCGGGGCGCAGGCGGTTGCCACGGCAACGGGTGTGCTTAACAATAAAGAGAGAGAGAATAAAAAGGTGCGAGTGGTTCTGACTTGATCACCTGTTCGGGTTATTTTACCTTTGTTTTCCTTTGCTGTGGTTCATCACAGCCGCTGGAGTTTCTAAATGTTCAATAAATGACAAACTTGGACTGATTACCTTGTTTGTTTGCAGTAAATATCACACCAAACATCAGATAGGATAAATATATTTGATAAAGTTTTAACAAACAAATAGCTTCTACCACGATAATTATGTGAAATTAAATGAATTATATCCCAAATTCAGAAGATTTGTCTTTACCTCTGCAGAGCTCTTTGGTTCCTCCTATCAGTCTGTAGTTTCTCATATGGCTCCATCAATCCAAATTTCAGATCTACCATAAATGACTGACACCTGCTGGCCTCAAGTTTGCAACCAGCCTGTGACTGAAACCAGTAACCTGCTGCCAGTGTCAGAATCTCACTGAGGAAGAAACTGCATTAGGTTTTCAATCACTTTATCATTTCTGATATAACTGATGTATATTTGCATAGAAAATTAGTCAATAGGGTTTAATTTATAATTTGTATGTCTTCTTGCCATGAGGTAGATCTCTGCCGGCTGGTGGGAGAAAAAGTAGATCTTGGTCTCAAAAAGTTTGAGCTCCCCAGATCTAGACCATGGCAAGGTTTGAGTTGAGGTCAGAGGTCAGACGCACCACAGCGAGGCTCAGACAGAGGAAAAGGAAAGAAGCAAACAGGAGTCGATTAGAGTTTGTCTTTCTTTCTGTTTATTTATTTCTAAATATATTTCATATATATGTATTTATATCTTTTCTCTCTTTAGCCACTTATTACTCAACGTTTTTATTTTGAAGTTATAAGTCATTTACTTATTTGAACACATAAACATGAAACAAGTGAAACCCAGTCTCTTTTATCCATTGCCATGTTAGATTTTAAAATGTAGAATATAAGTTAATTTAAGTGTAAGTTAACTTAGTCTGAGTAAACATCTTATCAGAGATCAATGAATTACTTTAAGTTTGTTGATCCTTGAGGTGTGAAGCCAGCGAGCAGCCCTCCTCTCATTTTAAGCCTAAGTGAGATATGAGGCTGGATAATGTCCAAGTCGGTACCAAAACTCTGATTCCTGACCTGTCCAGACATACAGCCAAAGGATCATAGCACCAAGTTGGTGTTATATTCTTTTCTAATTGTTCTACCCAGTAATCAATACATTAAAAAAACCACTGTTCTCTGAGAAAAATGTTTTATTTTTTTTATTTATTGTTCCTTTCCATTTCTTACTTTTGCACATGTTTAAATGTATTTACTTTTAAGCTTCCCTCTTTAGGAAAGTCAGAAATTCATTTTGAGCATGCAAAACAGTTGTTCCTATACACACACACACACACACACATATATATATATATATATATATATATATATATATATATATATATATATATGTATATATGTGTATATATATATATATTTTTTTTTTTTCTTCTCAGTGAGATGTCTCTCCACTGGGTTTCTGTCTTTGAAGGTATAGAAATGTTAAAAACCATTCACTATCTTTCCACTTTCCATTATTTTAGTACTCTGCAATTTAGCTCAATATGATCTCAATATAAAGTAACAAAGTACTTGTTCCTTTGTACTCTCGTGGAAAGTGCTCTACGCAAGCATCTATTGTTCGGTTATTGGTCCGGTTCTTCATATAGGACAAAAAATTGTACTTTCAGGGAATTCAGCACCAGTCACACTTCACATTCGCATTTGTATAAAAAGTTTGACCAAATCGAGGACGGGACTTTAACCCAAATTAAAAGTGCTTATCAACTCACGTTTCTGTTGGTTCATCTTATTCGGTTGGATCTCATCAATCTGTTGTTGGCAGACAAAGTCAGACCTAGGGCGCTGGCCTAGCAAATAATTCACGTCCCGGGACGTTGTTTTCTCTGACCGTGCATGGATTTCAGCGCATCGTTCTTCGTCTGTCAGTGAACAGAAATGCAAAATCCAGGCACCAATATGATAGGTATTTTCTTAACCTACATAAAAAGAGAACCACAGACAATGTCTTAGTTTTCAATCAAGTCTTTTGCAAAAGGAGAACCATTGCAAACCACTTCTTCAAGGTATTTACTGTGCATTCTGGCTTTCTGTATCAGAACTTTTATTACTAAACATAGCAGGAATGAAATGTGAAGTGAGGGCTATTCTGAACAAAGAGAATACACAGGCTGTTTAAGGAGTATCCCAAGATAAGAAGTAGCTTCAGCTTCAAGGTTCAGGGAAAAAGTAAGTTTTGTGAAAGACAAAGAAAGAGAATATAGAAACTAACATTCTACACAAAGGCCGTAGTACCCCAAGATAAGAATTATTATTATAAATTTATAATAATTTATAAAGTAATTATGATATTTATGGAAAGCAATAAAGGGACTGCATTAAAAACAAGAGTTCAGGTTACACTGAGTATCTTTGATCGCTGTAGCTGCCTTCAACCTAAAAACAATAAGAGCTTATTGGTCATGACTATTGGGATGTTTGTTGTTCCTGGATTGACTGTTTTGAAAACACCTGCAAACTGCAAGTTCACCAGCACTGTATTTTGGCATTTTGTTTCAAATATTTTTCATAATTTCCACAGATAACTAGAAGTTAAACAGAAAAATCTCCAAATACTGAACCACAAATAGGTGGGGCTCCACTGTATCAGTGGTGAAGGTTTGCATGAACCTTAGAAACAAAGAAATACTCCAATCATTGCTGGTTGAAGCCAGATGTGTGGACAGCGACGTTAAACATCCCCCCACGACTTCTTAATTCTCAGAGGAACACACACACTTTATCACTTCGAGTTATGGATGTAAAGTGTGTGAACATCAAGAGCTGCAGCCTTCGACAAGCAGAACCAACAACATCCACTGAGCATATGCTAAATGAGAAAACCAACTCTCCATTCAGTTTTATAGAGATCGCCTTTTATTTTTCTCTTTGTTGAAGGTAACTGAAAAAGTACTGACCCATGACATTTTGTTTATTGTAACACTCCTGTTAAAATCTGAATGAAACATTCAGATTTTGTTGTTTAATCATAAAATATGGATAAAGTCAAAGAGTATGAATTATTTTGCCAAACAGTATATTACAAATCTAAAATATAGTTCTGTGAGGCCTTTTTTTAGCTGTTCAGATATTTCTTTTTAATAACTTCTTTGAAGTCTGGACAGCATGTTGGCTGTTTCTACTGTTCACATGGTAAATCCCAGCAGGAAGAAGGCCTGGTCAAAACAGAAGAGGCCAGAAACCTCCTCCAACTAATGACCTATTACTTTACTCATCATAAGATGTTAAATTCAGCTGCTGTGTTTAAGACTTTTGGGAAATGGGCTCAGTCTGAGACCACTTTCTGTACCAGGCTGTACCAGGACTGCTCCTCTGGTACTTTATAGCTTCCAATCTCCGTGGGAAAGCAGCAAAGCGTGACACCAGCTCACTGGAACACCGAGTATTGGTCCGGACAGGCATAATATTGAACCTCTAAATCTAGGTTGGCTCAACAGGTTTCAGAGTCATTCTACTCTAACATGACAGGCAGCTCTGTGTATAATGGGATTGCTTGAAATTGTTTCATTGGGAGTGGAACTTTTCCACAGCCCACCATTGGGTCTAGCCAATGGCTGAACCAGTCAGTGCACTGTGTTAACTACAAAGCATTGTTGTGTTGTTTTTGTGTTTCAGATGGCTTGAGGTGAGTGTAGCCAACCTGACGTGCACCAAGTACTGGGTGGTGTACCTGCAGATAATCCAGGAGGCAGTGTGGCCGGGAGGCACGCTGCCAGCCGCTGCACCACCTCATCGCAGCCAGCAGCACAAAGACAGCAGCAAGCAGCGAGCCTTAGATGGTCTGATGAAACTTCTGCCAGGTATATAGAACCTGAGGTCATCCAACATGCCATCACATATTAGCTGTTCTATAGGAACTCTAACAAACGAAATTGTGAACTAGCCTATAATCCAACAGAGGGCCAGTCATTGTGCCATTGTGTCATTCAAACAGGGGATTATTTTCACTGTCTTGTAAGTAGCCTTCTTTTAACTGACCAGCAGTGTGCAGCAACAAGTGTGATGGATGGAGAGATAGTGCTTTGTTAGTTTATGATACAAATAGCCAGAAAAAACTCCACTAACTCCAAACCACTTTGTCTGGAATCTCATTTCGAGGACATTCAGGAAACCACCTCATCACAAACTGCTAGCTTCAACTTCTTGTCTTTGTGTCTTTAGATCTGATATCAGATATGCTGGGTTCTGATAAGTACAGGCTGAGCTGGCAGACTGCTCTGGATTCTTTTCAAGACCCCCACATTAACAGGTAAACATGCACAACACACTTTACGCTTTGATGGTTTGGGTGTTTGATTTACTCCTTAGCTTTTACATATTATTTTACCCTGTCAGGAGGACTACAAAGGATTCTGTGAAAAAAAAAACAATTCTAAAAATCTTCTCTTTTGAGCAGAAGCTGAAATGATCACATTTTTGTTCATCAGTATAGATGTTTTTTTTCACAGTTCAAGTGAGAAACAGTTCCCTGAAGACCAAAAAAAAAAAAAAAACACAATTTATCAGTATTTTAATCTATATTATTTTTAATTGCAGAACTCTTCTAAAGAATGTCTGAACAGATTAAAAGATGAATCTTTGTTGAAAAAAAATTACTGGCTTTTCATGACTTCCGAACCAGTGGCTATTAGGAGTGGTAGTGATGTAATCATGTCCAGTGGGAAAGAGACTGGACATGTCAAGTTTTAGCACTTTTAACCCCAAACACAATACAGCCACAAATTTCAATATACACTACTGTTCAAAAGTTTGGGGTCACATTGAAATGTCACTAAAAGCACTGTACTTTTCAATGAAGATAACTTTAAACTAGTCCTAACTTTAAATAAATACACTCTATACATTGCTAATGTGGTAAATGACTATTCTAGCTAAAAATGTCTGGTTTTTGGTGCAATATCTACATAGGTGTATAGAGGCCCATTTCCAGCAACTATCACTCCACTATTCTAATGGTACAATGTGATTGCTCATTGGCTCAGAAGGCTAATTGATGATTAGAAAACCCTTGTGCAATCATGTTCACACATCTGAAAACAGTTTAGCTCCTTACAGAAGCTACAAAACTGAATGGGGTGACCCCAAACTTTTGAACGGTAGTGTATAGCTTATAGGGATTTTACAACCTAAAATTCTAATAAAGTTGGGATGCTGTGTAAAACAAATAAAAACTGAATAGAATGCAAATACAACAAAAAAGTTCATCCATTGAAAGCGTGTTCTTGTAATAAATTCAATTGAATGCAATTGAATAATTTACATTGCTCTGTGATGGGCTGGTGACCTGTACAGGGTGACCCGATCTCTCCCCTGTTGACCACTGCAGATGGGCACCAGCAGTCCCACAAGGGACAAGATGGATGAATGGATGTATTTAAAACAGGGACAGTACATTGTAGACAAGAAGAGAGATTCACTCTACCAGGTAGTGACTCCAAGTGCTAAATAAATTCCTTCTCTTCCCCTCCAAAGACAAACATTAACAAAATGGAAATAAATATCTGTTGATAATATGTAGAAGGAGCCGATATGCTCTGAGTAAACTCTGTACATTTTAAACTTATTTCTCACTGAACTTTTCTTCGGTATCAGCATGTTTGGATCCTCATATCCAAACGCTGCATACGTAGCCACTGCCTTTAACGGGCTTGTTGCTCCAACGCCTGAATAAGACACTGACAGGTTGCTAACAGCTGACTGATGATGAGTGCAGGCGCATGGCTGAATTGTCATGTTACTGTTTACATCTGCTCTGCCTTTTACTGACTGATCTCGTGATCAACTTTATTTGTGTGATTTTTATGATATTTTTTTATTGAATGGAACCACAGCAATTGTAAAATCATGTTTTTTTTACATTAGCAGAATATTGACGCAAATTTTAGCACATTTGTAATAAAAACACATTTCCTTAAAATGATTAGTTGGGTTTTGTTTCTGCAGATACCTGGTCTACTGTATATTTGATCTTCTGTTGGACTTCCTGGTTCCTGAATTACCAGAGGAAGATTTTCAGAGAAGCCTCCTGCAGACTCTCTCTAAGTAGTCAGAAAAGATGCTGGCATGAGAAGAGAACCCAAATGCAGATGGATTATTTTATTTTTATTTTTGATCTGGAGGTGAAAAGCAAGAGGAATGTTCCTGTGCCAATATCAGGTCATGAGTGTGACAGTTGTATCTGATTATGTTTACCTTCTTCTGAGCTCATTTTAAACTCCTTAGATCACATTGGTGACATCCTAAGGTAACATAGATACATTCGTTACTGAAGTTATATACATGCTGAATTTCAATCTGCTGTTGATTGTAAACCACAGTTGGTTTGTGTTTGATCCCAGCGACCGGCGTTTTGTTCCAATCCAAACGTGGTAAAACTTCGCCCCATCTCCAAATCTGGTCGTCTCCTGCATGCGTCATTTGCCAGCTTTAACTAAACTGTCTTCAGATGCTTGATCCCTGTGCTGCATAATGTGACAGTTTCTCCATCCCAGAGCTCTACATGTTATCCTGAGAAAATGTGAACTTTATTTTCCTGAATCTGAGCTTTCCTGAGGGATTTACCTGGCAAGCGTCAGTGTGCAGGAAAAGTACACTCTGTATGGGATGAGTTTAGAGCTGTCCAGGAAACCAGGAAAGGTTTTTTGTACATACAAGCGTATGTCTCAACTGTTTAGAAAAGCCTTTCATAAAACGAAACTGGGCGTCAACTAAAACGTTACATAAGGGGCGTAGTATCAATATTGTCATAACTTCATTTAAAACCATTCTGAAAGAGTTTGTGGTATGCGGTGTGTGAACTTGTAATGGTGATAAGTAATGCTAACACTGACTCTTATAAAACTCTGAGCAGAAATACACCACTTGAAACATGTGAGTTCTTTGCTGCCATCTGTTCAAGGTATTTCACATGAATTTGTGAAAGTGTGTGTCCTTGGTGGTCACAGGCTGGTCTTTTCTTTGGAATATTTAGCCTCAATTAGTTATAATTCGACTCCACATATCTGCTGGATTTGTGGAGTCATTAAATGTGAGACATCTGTGTTTGAGTTATGGGGAAAAGTTGTGTACAGATATGTTGAAGGAAGTTCACTTGCATTTTGTCTCCTGTGGGAAGATTACGGTTCGGTACAGCGTCCCATATCGACCACTATCCCATCGGTCCTGGGCCCCCTTCCATATATAGAACTATGGTAAGGTTAGGGTGGAGCTGCTGGTGCCACACATCACAGTCCAGTGATTGGTGGACAGAAAAAGTCCGAGATTGATATAGAAACTCAGGTATAGGACTAGAACATGGGAATGAAGAAGTGTGACTAAACATGGACATGGTTTGATACCCCTGCTGCAAACTCCTTACCACTAAGACAAAATCTTATTGAAGATATTCTCATTACGACTACAATTTTGGAGATTTCCCATTTTGATTTAGCTTTTAAAGCACATGTTGTCTTAATCATGCTAAATGTTTTTATCCATAACTTCTGATCACCATATCTATCATGAGAGTTACTTCCTGCAGTTATTACTACATTCAGACGATCATCCCCTGTAGCACACATTTCTTCAGTTTAAAAAAATACTTTATTCATCTCAAGGGGAATATAAATGTTGTTGTAACTCATCCAAGTACAGATGGCGAAGGAAATGCAGTAGCAGTCAGTCTTGCAACCAATCTGAAGAGACCTCTGAGGACTTGCAATATCAGAACTGTCATCACATGCTAACAGTTCATTAACCAGGCAGCAGAAGTATCATTCCACAGCAACATGTCCTTAATAGGATCATCAATTGTTAACAGCTCTGCTAATCCACCTCATGTGCTTTTGCTGCTCTAAGCAAAACAGTGATTTGTCTGGCCGTCTGGGTTGAAAGCTAGTGGAGTTGGGGTTGTCGTTATCCATTTAAGAGATGGCTTAAAATTTTGCCTTCTCTCTGTGCATCTATAAAGCACTTTTAACTCCCCTGGTATTTGTAGTCAGGGTTCAGGTGTTATTTAAGCTTTTGCGATGCTAATCAGCTGTATTCTGGCTGTAAAAAAAAAAAAAAGCAAGAACAAGAATCCTTCCCCAACTGCAGAGCACCAAAACCCTGATAAAATAAACAAGTTAACAAAACTTTTTGTGAATTATCTTGCTAATAATTAACAGTAATGCAAGGTTTTTTATAATGTTATTGGAGTCAGGCAGCTGCAGGTTTGGGTTCAAAACTGGCTAATGTTATACATTTTTCGTACTTTCTTCCATCTGACCAAAAACCTCGTTTTAAAAGAAGTGGTCCAGTCGTTCCAGGCTGGAAAACCAGATGGCAGGTGTTAGGAGTTGGTCACTTCAGGCCACACAGATGTGAAGCAGTTCTTAGAAGTGGCGATTATGCAACCAATTATTGCTTTGGTGATTCACAAGAATGTTGAATATTTAAACAAAGCTTCAGTGTAAACAAGGAAAAAAAGCTGACGCAATGATGTTCTGAACAGCCTGTTATTCACTTTTTCTTAATTTCTGTAGAGTGAGAACAGATTTGATTGAATAAAGCTGCATATTTAACCTTCCGAATACACTGCACATTGTTCCCACTGCATTTAAAAACTACTACAAGATTATTTATTTCTCCATTATATAATTTTCACTTTTTTCTCTTCTTTTATACTCTCCCCATACATAAAGCAGCTTGTATGGCATTAAGGTCCTAATACGATCCTCCCAAAATGTGAGGAGCTTTACACAGAGTGAAAATAATATATAAATATTTCATTGACACTTATTATGGATTACCAATGAAGGCATCCAAAAGTGAATACATTATTCAGCAAACCAAACATTTTGACATTATTATCAGGCTTGATATTAACAAAAACCCAACATAGAAGTCATGTTTGTTCATTTCTACTTTTTACAACATCATTCTATCCACTCACGGATTTGCTGACTTCCTGGAGAATCTTCAATGTGAGAAAGTGAGAAAAAAATCTTAATTAGTAATACATAAGACTAAGTTTAAACTTTTAAGACCCTGGTCAATTCTTTCATGAAGGTTTGCTTAAAAGTAGAACCAGTCAGATTTGAAGGAATGCAGTTTTAGTTCTTCTCAGTGTAACTTGAACATCAGATGAATCATAAACATATTGAGAAGTTCAAAACAACAGATTGTTAATGCACTTCAACTCTGTAAGAACATCAGCCACATTTTTTAAAATGAGAAATGTTTCATCAGCACATTGGGGTCATGTGATTTCTGCTCCATGAAGGTGAAGGTCTCTGGACGAACTGAGGGTAAATGCAACTGCAGAGTTGCATCAACCAACACAACCCTACAACATCCAGAGCCCTGAGAAACTCCGGGCGAATCTCATCCACCCCCGGGGCCCTGCCACCAAGGAGTTTTTTAACCACCAGCGTCCCCAGGCTCAGCTTTCTCAATGGAATGCATGTTTGTGGGATTGAGGAGGTCTTTGGTTCTGGAACCAGACTCCGCCCACTGGCCCACAACGTCCCGAGTCGAGGTCAGCAGCACACCACCCCCACTGTAAACAGTGTTGGTGCTACACTGCTTCCCCCTCCTGAGACGCCAGATGGTGGACCAGAATCGCCTGGAAGCCTTGCGGAAGTCTTTCTCCATGGCCTCTCCGAACTCCTCCCATGCCCGAGTTTTTGCCTCAGCAACCACCCGAACCGCACACCGCTTCGCCTGCCGGTACCCATCAGCTGCTTCCGGAGTCCCACAGGGCAAAAAGGTCCGATAGGACTCCTTCTTCAGCCTGACAGCATCCCTCACCGAAGGTGTCCACCAATGGGTTCGAGCGTTGCCACCACGACAGGCACCGACAACCTTGCGACCACAGCTGCGATAAGCCGCCTCGACAATGGAGGCACAGAACATGGTCCACTCAGACTCAATGTCCCCCGCCTCCCCCGGGACGTGATCGAAGCTCTGCCGGAAATGGGAGTTAAATTTCCGTCTCACAGGGGACTCCTTCCAGACGTTCTCAGTAGACCTTCACAACACGCCCCTCCCCCACCACCAGAGCCAACTCACCACCAGGTAGTGGTCAGTGGACAACTCTGCACCTCCCGAGTGTCCAAGACAAACAGCCGCACATCCGACGAAACGATGACAAAATCGATCATCAAACTGCGGCCTAGGGTGTCCTGGTGCCAAGTGCACATATGGACACCCTTATGCCTGAACATGGTGTTCGTTATGGACAATCCGTGACGAGCACAGAAGTCCAGCAACAGAACACCACTCGAGTTCAGATCGGAGGGAGCGTTCCTCCCAACCACGCCCCTCCAGGTCTCACTGTCATTGCCCACGTGAGCGTGAAGTCCCCCAGCAGAACGAGGGAGTCCCCAGTAGGGGCACTCTCCAGAACCCCCTCTAAGGACTCCAAAAAGGTTGGGTAAGCTGAACTGTCATTTGGCCCGTAAGCACAAACAACAGTCAGAACCCGTCCCCCCACCCGTAGGCGGAGGATGGCTACCCTCTCGTTCACCGGGGTAAACTCCAAGTATGCCCACCCCTGCTCGACGCCTCTCACCGTGGGCAACTCCAGAGTGGAAGTATATTCAGCCCCTCTCAAGGAGACTGGTTCCAGAAACAAAGCCATGCATCGAGGTGAGACCGACTATTTCTAGCCAGAACCTCTCAGCCTCACACACCAGCTCTGGCTCCTTCCCCACCAGAGAGGTAACATTTCATGTCCCAAGAGCCAGTTTCTGTAACCGAGGATTGGACCGCCAGGACACCCTCCCTTGGCCACCACCCATCACACACTGCACCTGACCCCTGTGGCCCTTCTCATAGGTGGTGAGCCCATTGGAAGAGGGACCCATGTTTCCTCTTCGGGCTGGGTGAAAGCCCGTGGGCTTTCACCCACGGGCTCCATGGGTGAAAGCCCGGCCACCAGGCGCTCGCCAACCTGCCCCACCTCCAGGCCTGGCTCCAGAGTGGGGCCCCGGTGACCCGCGTCTGGGCGAGGGAACACTATGTCCAAAGTTTGTTTGCATCATAGGGGTCTTCGGGCTGCGCCTTGTCTGGTCCCTCCCCTAAGACCTGTCTGCCTTGGGTGACCCTACCAGGGGCATAAAGCCCCCGACAGCATAGCTCTTAAGATCATTGGGGCCCTCAAACCCCTCTACCACGATAAGGTGGCAGCCCGAGGAGGAGACCATTCTCCTCCTCCTTTCATATCCAGGCCCCTAAGTCAATTCATAAGTGAATTTGTCCTCTCTCTTTCATTCCCCGAATCATAGCCTCGGCCTCGACCTCAGTTCCCATTTTAGGGGGAAAACATCCTTAATCAAGTGAACTGATTAGGGAGCTTATTGCAATTCACAGCTCAAATCTTGAGCGGGGGCCCTTTTGGCCAAATGAATTCATAGCCAAAGCTTGACTCATTTTGCTGCGCCACAGTGGACTTTTCTTTCTTACATAAAAAAACACAGGCACACGCACACACACCTCTGACGACACATATGTTTATCCTGCGTGCCCTTAAAAGGATAAGATCTGAGAAGATCACCAGAAAGTATTCCAATCTGAAACTTGCTTTTCAAACTCATGCCAAGAAAGAAGTGTTTAAGTCTTGTTTAAGTTTTGTTCTGCAGTCTTAAGATTTTAAGATCTTATTAAATATAGAAAAACATTTTTTAAAAATCTTACACACAGCCCCAAAGCATCTGAACCATCTGAAGCTTTATGTGCTTCAACATTTCATTCATAAGAAGTAAGAGAGTAATAACAATGTATTTGTTTCCAACTTTGAAACATCCGTTTCAGGACACCCCTAACTGTTAGCACTTTGGTGGCTTTTACTTCTTCATGTCCTCCACTAAACTTGTTTATTTTGAACAGTGCAGATGATAACTGTTGTGTTCCTTTCCAATCCACAGATGTATTGATCCTCAGTGAGCTCTCTAGTCAGGCTTGCCCATGGAGGAGCTGAATGTGGCTCAGAGGGAACACAACTGCATCATGACTAAGTTTCTTTCACAACAGAGCAGAAAAATCAGCACCTTCTACTGACTAACCCAACACAAGCAACTTTATACTGAGCTGCAAACCAACATGGTACTTAAGAGATGAAGACTGATGCAGTTTGAATGCTGTGAATATACAATTTTATATTCATCTGCAGTCTGGAGAGTGATTAACTCCACTTTTTCTATCCTGGATCACCTTGTCTGTAAAGGAAAAGTGTGATGGTGATCTAAGGCCTCTAGATGGCACCATAAGCATAGTAATGAATCCGCATTCTTCTTTCCACTCACCACATGGAATCGCTGAGTGCCAACCTTCGAGGAATTCCACTGCAGCTGTATTGAGGGGAATCTGGAAAGAAAGCATGAGGCAGGTTTGTTATCACCTATATAGGTTTCAAACACCCTTGATGAATTTCACTGGGATGCTAAATTTATGTTTGTTTTTCACTAAAAAGTAGCACAAGCTCATTTAGACTGGAGAGAAATCATTTGATCAATCAATCAATCAATCAATCAATCAAATTTTATTTGTAGAGCACATTTCAGCAACAAGGCATTTCAAAGTGCTTTACATCAGAAACACAAAAACACAAAGTCATGCATCGTAGAATAAACAATACGTTGTTACATATTACATTTCAAATATAATTCTAAACAGGTGTGTTTTTAATTGAGATTTAAAGGAAGTCAGGGTTTCTGCTGTTTTACAGTTTTCTGGAAGTTTGTTCCAAAGTTTTGGTGCATAGATGCTGAAAGCTGCTTCTCCTCTCTTGGTTCTGGTTCTGGGGATGCAGAGCAGAACCAGAACCAGAACCTGAGAGTCTGGAAGGTTGATGCAACAACAGCAGATCTTTAATGTATTGTGGTGCTAAACCATTCAGTGATTTACAAACTAACAACAGTATTTTAAAATCTATTCTTTGAGCTACAGGGAGCCAGTGGAGGGACTTTAAAACTGCTGTTATGTCTCTATCTTCCTGGTTTTAGTGAGAACAGGAGCAGCAGCTTCTGGAGCAGCAGCTTCTGGATCAGCTGGAGGATTGATTTGTTGGACAGGCCTGTGAACGCTGTTACAATAATCAATGCGACTAAAGATAAACGCATGGATGAGTTTCTCTATATCTGGCTGAGACATTAGTCCTCTAATCCTGGAGATGTTCTTCAGGTGATAGAAGGCCGACTTTGTAACTGTCTTTATGTGGCTCGCAAGGTTCACGTCAGAGGTCATCACTACTCCCAGGTTTCGGGCTGATCTCTAGGTTTTAGTTGTAATAAATGAAGCTGTGCATTGACTCTAGATCTATAACTCTAGATCTATAGCTCTAGATCGTTCATCTTTAGGTCCAAAAATAATGACTTCAGTTTTGTTTCTGTTCAGCTGGAGAAAGTTTTGGCACATCCACACATTTATCTGTTCTAAACATTTATTCAGTGATTGGATGGGGTCAAAGGTCACCTGGTGACATCGTAATGTAGAGTTGAGTATCATCTGCATAGTTATGGTAGCTAATATTATTTCCTGTTACAACCTGAGCTAGTGGGAGAATATAAATATTGAATAAGAGGGGTCCTAGGATTGAACCTTGGGGTACCCCACATGTGACCTTTGACCTCTTTGATGAGAAGTTTCCAATTGAAAGAAAGAAATCCCTGTTCTTTATGTAAGATTGAAACCAGTCGAGCACCGAACCGGAGAGTCCAACCCAACTCTCCAGTCGATTCAGTAAAATGTCAAAAGCTGCACTGAGGTCCAACAGAACCAGCACTGTGGTTCTCCCATAGTCCGTATTTATATGGATATCATTGAATACTTTGACTAGGCCAGTCTCCGTGCTGTGGTGAGCACGAAAACCAGATTAGAAAGAGTCAAAGCAGTTGGTCATCATGAGGAAACTATTTAATTGTTTACACAGTTTTTTCAATAACTTTGCTGATGAATGGGAGGTCAGAGGTCAGAGGTCGGCCTGTAATTCTGCAGTAGTGATTTGTCCAGATTGTTCTTTTTTAGCAGTGGTTTGATAACTGCTGTTTTCAAAGCCTGGGGGAAAACACCTGATGTAAGCGATGAGTTACTATTTGGATCAGATCAGTAACAATAACAGGCAGGACTTTCTTAAAGAAATGTGTGGATAGGACATCCAGACAGCAGGAGCTTGAACTTAACTGACTTATAATTTCTTCTAGGGTTTTATAATGAAGTAGTTGAAAATGGGTCATTTTTCCTGTATTTGTTCTGTTTGGGTACAGCAGTGGTTCTGGCTTTAGAGTTGATGTGCAGATTAATCCTCTGATTTTTTGATTTTTTGATTCAAGGTGAGGCAGGCAGTTCTCTTGCCTCATGGCAGGGGGCGCTCATGATCCCAGACATTGGTCTTGTGACCACATTTGCAGAGTTAAAAACAGTGAGCCAGCCATAAAGTAAATGAGTGGAGTTCAGCGATGGATTTAATCTTTTCTCCTCTCTTCCATCGTCAACATGGATGACTACATTTCTACACTTAATCAGTTTTCTACAGTTGAAGCAGGAAACAATAACTAAAGGAAGACCAACACTGCAGCTGACAGGTTTGCTGCCAGAGTCCATATACAAATGTGAACCTCACCCTCTATGAACCTCACTGCAGTGAGGTGCACTGAGGTTCAACAAATGGGTTGAACTTGATTTTTTTTGACTTGTCTTTAAGTAAAAAAAAAAATTCTCAGAAAATTTCTGAGATTTTTTAGCAGAAATATGCTTCTTTTTATCTACAATGACCTTAATATGCTATTGCACCATTGAGATACAAAATGTCTTTTGCAAGAGAATACTGGCCAAGACTGGCAGAAGCACACAGAGATTTCAGAATATTCACAGAAAAAACAGAAAAGGGTAGCACCGTCATAAATAAATGAATATAGTGAAAGCTGACACTTCACACCAGAATCAGCTTTGCTTGTTTAGTTTTCAAGATCAGCTGTTTTCACCACTTTCCCTTCCATCCCTGATAGAGTTTCTGTTTACCATGTGTGCTCCATTTGTGTGATCTAGGAGCTCAAGGATGTGCGAGTGCAAAGGTGGGCGAATGTAAGAGAAGAGAGACAGAAAGCTCTCCCCCACCCGTCCAGAGATCCACCACATTAGTTAGAGTCCACAACAGGCCAGCCAACACTAACATTTGAAATCGCTCAGCGGGTTTATAGTGTGCGCTCAGATGCCATCACTCATTCATCCACCACACCCAAATCCACAACAAAACTAAAAACTCAGTTTTTCCCTCTCACCCTTGATCTTGCCTCAAAATGCAAGCCGAGAGTATCAGCCTCATTTAGCCTGGCAGGTTGGGCTTCTACAGATAGATTTCTGCTTCTCTCTGCACAGGTCACTGACATCATCATAATGTTGTTTCCAATAAATTTGGGTCTGCATACCAGGCCAGATTTTTTCCATTACATTTGTGTTTCACCAGCGCTCCCAGTTGATGGGAAACACACCGCTGCTGATGAGCTGCGTAGTTGTGTTCACTCAGAAAAAGAAAAATGTCTGTTCCCTTCTCAATATATCTTCTATGCTCCGGCGTGTTATCTAAAAGATACAATATGTCTAAATTAATTAGAGTGAGATTTGGATCAGCAGCTTCTGCCTCATTATTTCACACAACTACTGACTTTACTTAGAGCAGCAGTTACTTAATATTTATTCTTCTACATATGTTCCAAAGTTTGGAATGAAGTCTTGCTTCAAGGTTCCAAACACTGAGAGTAGCTTCCTCTCATACATTCTTACTTTTCAGTGCCATTCTGCACTTTGTCTGAGATAGTGACCAGAATGGACAATCAAGTCAAACAGAGCCACAACAATAACCAACTAGAAAATTTCTGAAGAAATTTTAGTGTACCAAAGTGTGCCCGTCAGTTGGAACCCAACGTTTTGATGTGAAAAATTGCTAAAATGCACTGCAATGTACTCAATAGCATGTGGAAAGTGACAGCATGTTGAGAAGCATGGACTTACTTCATTCAGTATATTAAAATAAGTGTACAAGCTAAGATTAGCCAATATGCTACCAGTGGCATGTGGGGTGTCACGAGCATATTGTCTTATATTGACTTCCACCATTCAGTCTACCAAACATGGTTCATAAATGAATTAATAGCTAAAAACATGCATTTTAGGGAAAAGACTATGCTAGACTGCTATTGGGGAGAAGTGCATTGCTAATGTTTGTGCTAACTTTTAAAAAGTAAAAAGCCGATGTTTATTTCCTAGCACTTTGTTAATAGAAAACACACTCATCTTGTTGCTGTTGCTAGGAACAGAACAACAAATGACTAGTCATAGTACTAACAGGAAGGTTAGTACTATGACTCCACATGCTATTGAGTACTAACAGGAAGGTCAGACCTTCCTGTTAGTACTCATTACTGACAGGAATGAGTTCTACCTTCACAGGAAGGTCAGACCTTCTCTGTAGGAACTGAGTGTTCCTCCATCTCTGTAGTTCTCTACATCTCTGCTCTCCTCAGTGTTCTATTTCTGATCATTTATTCTCTCTGAAAATTGTCATGCGTGAGACACAGAGGGGGAGACAAATTTCTATCTCTGTTTTAACTGACACAAAACAGTGTCAGTTAAAATTTGTCTTGATTTGAATTTGGCTCATTTTTAACTAATTATGTTGTCATGGTTATTCAAAATGCAAAAAAACATAAAAAATATTAGCACCCCTCATGGGATGGAGGCGCATGTTTTGATGTGTTGTGGAGGAGCACACAGCGGTACGAGCCGCATTAATGGTAAAAGGAAACAGCAATTATTTTGAGGTGTAGATCAATAGATGCCTTTGCACCTATTGTTGGTCTGATCTGACCACATGGACAACGGACGGACAGACAGACCTTTGGGATTTTACCTTAGGGTTGTTCCCATCTCCCACACAGCACCAATAAAACAATACATAAAATACTTACATTAATGTTTATAAATGGTCATTCTGTTTCTGTTGTAATTCCTCTTAGTTCTCCTTCCAACCTACAGTGAGGAGTTGAAGATTTGCACAATTGACAAAAGAGTTCCTTATGTAACGTTCTCTAGAATGATAAAAAAAAGACAAATCTTCAACATGTCACTGTCTGCGAGTGGCCCCTCAGCTGAAAAACAAAAAGACACAGTTAGCATCATGACTGAATATTCAGCCAGGAACACCAACTGACGCAGCTCTCACCCATAGGGTCATATTTTTCCAGCCCAACCATGACAAAACTTTATAAATTACATTTGTAGATGTTAAATGTATTTATAATATTTTGTCAGGTATTGAACTAGAAAAATATGACCCCAAGTAAAAAAAAGTAATGAAGAGCTGCCTCTCT